GGAAACAGTTGCATCAGAGAGATGACAAAGCCTCACGGAACAAAAGTGAAAGCCAAAAGACAAAAAGCAAAGGAAAAACTGAGGTCAGCGGACATGGCTCGATCAGGTTTCCAGTACATATTAAAAAGTTCACAACAGCACACTTTTAAACTCTAGGAAAGATCACAGCAAAATCCTCAAAAAGCAAAGACAGAAAGACGGCAAAGTACCATTAAATTTCCTTCTGAAAAAACAAAAATAACAAAAAAACAAACAAACTAGAAAATCATGAATCTCAGTTCAGTACTGTACATTAAGTGCTTTGCCAGAAAGAAAAACAGCAAAAAGGACAAACAATTTCAATCTCATTTGTGAGACTTTTGGTTGTAATACTTCTGGGATTCTTTTTCCCTATCAACTTGGGAATAGTCATCACTTTAACCATCTTCATCAACAAAGTTTAAAAAAAAAAAAAAGAAAAAAAAAAGAAATCACTTTTTCATTTAAAGGTATTGATATTTCATCAGCATAGCTCTGATTTGTGCACTGGTCACAATACTTCATTGCGCAACGATGCTAAATATTCATAAGTTTAGTGGAAATGGTTTAGACCGTAAACATCAGAAAAAACTAACAACTACAGTTTCTTTGCAGCTCCTACTGCAGATCTGATCAACTAGAGTTCTTGTAGCGAGCTGTTTGAATGTTTTATAACTTAAGTTGAAAATGTCTCTGTATAAAAAAAGCCTTGTGCATTAAACTGTATAGCTGCATGGCTGCACTCTTTATCTCCTTCATTTTAGAGTGTTTACATCCACTGAAAGCTAAATACATTACGAAAAACCAAAACACAATCCCTTTAATCTCCACAAACTCCATGACTATATGTGGGTTTTTCAAATGATTTTCTCCAAGCCAATTAGAGCAAGCCCAACATTAGATATCAGTTGCTTAGCATCAGTTGTCTGTTTATCTTCATCATTTTCCTTCCATATTTTTCTAAAGCATACTCCGTAATATGTCTCCTGTTCTGAGTAACATTTTGGGACAAAGTTGGTGGGACTTTAAGACAAGGCTGCATCAAAACTTAAATGTAGTGGAATAAATGTATGAAGTTTGTAAATAGAGTGCTTCTTAAGATTTAGGAAACAAACTACACACTTACTAAACTGACTTACACCTTAAAAAATGTTACAGTTACAACATATATAATACCAACAATAGAAATTAAGTTTTTGGAGAAAATGATTTCTTGATATCTGATTTCCTACTTGTTTTATTTAAATATGCTTACATAAAGATATTAGAGTTTCAGAATTAGCATTTACTCAGTTTTGAAAGAACAGGCAAGCTCCAAAAACGCTAACCTATCTAAAGTTACTTGGTCACTCTACTGTTATCATAACAATTTGCAATGTGTGGCACTTTTGTGGAATCTAATTTAAATTTACCATGCTTCCAAGAATATTTTTTTCAATTATTTTGCCATAGCTTTGTTAAGCTCTTTCACAGCAGGACAATGCTATTTCTGTTACTTGGCTAGCTCAATAAGCTAATGGTAGAGTGTCATAACACCTGGAAATTACTCGGTGAAAATAATCAATTCATAATAAATCTTACACAATTATTTTAAAGCTAGGCTACATTTCTAAAGACAGTATGAAAAGCTCATGGAAACCCAAAGCAGCCTGTGTATCTGTGACTAAGATTCACGTGCCGGTGATCAAGAAAACTCAATGGCCATTTTCCATTATTAAGACAAATCCCTGCTGTACAACAAGGAAAGGCTCATCGCTGGTACTTTACGAGCAATGTCAAATCAAAATGACACAGGCTGCGTTAGGCAATAATCTATTATTGCCTAACACAATTAAGATTTAACAGCGACGCAAAAAAAAAAAAAAAAAAAAGAGCTTCACAATCTTTTGATAGTTTTAGGATCTTAACAATAATGGCAAGAGTAGCTAAGCTTTGGACTGACTAAATCATTTTGGCCTAAAACGGTGTGATTATGTTGCAGCTCGATATGATTAACCACATCTCAAATCAAAGTCTATACAATTAGCACAATAATAAATTCACAGCAATCAGAAATGAGTGAGAGGAATGTGTTTCCCTCCTCTTCTGAAGAATCTCTTTCCTCTTAGTAATGTCAGTATCCAGAACTCTGTTCAACAGATCCTTGTGGAAGGTCATTATCCAGTGACCATTTGAATGGAGACTAATAATCATGTCAACAATAATAAATAAATATGTAGCGACACAGGGAACGGGAGAACACAAGGAAAGTGAAAGGCACCATCCTGCTAAAAGTAAATGTGAAAGAGTGGATGGAGCAGTTGCAACACACTGCTATAGACGTTGAATGATTTTGTCATCTTTCTGACTTGTTCTACAGTCTCAGTTACTTTTCAGCTTTGTCATTTTAGAGTCATGGATTTAGTCAAGTCATTATCCTTGTTTTAAGGCAGAAATGTGGGACTTCAAGACACTTTTGCCCCCCAAACACTGGCAGCAACTCAAAGCTTCAGTCATTGCTGTGTTGTTTAAAGAAAAAAAAAAAGAAGAAGAAAGAAGGTCCGCTACAGTCGCTGGCTGTTGGGCCTTGCTTCAGCCATCGTACTGCTGCTGATAGCGCCGGTTCAGCTCTCGCAGCTCCTTCTCTCTCACCCGCCGAGCCTTGTTGGATTTGGTTGAGCGGCTGGAGCGCGTGGACTGGGATGACTTGGTGCTGTGGCAGCGTGAGGACGCACGCTTCAGGAGGTTGTGAGATATGCAACGCTGCAGGTTCTTCATGGACGACGAGGCTGCCATGCTGACGATCCAGGGGTGCTTGAGGGCCTGACCGGCGGTAAGTCGCTCACTGGGATCCACTGTCAGAACACGCTCTACAAAGTCTTTGGCAAGGTTGGACACACTGGGCCATGGCTGCAGAGGGAAGACAGGCAAGGGAGAAAGACTGAAATAAAACCAACTGGTTGAATTTTACCAAATTTCTTTATATACTTTATAGAAGAGGTTCATTGTATATTAGGTACAACTAGCTGAAACTAATGATAAGAGTCGAAGCAGACTGAAGCAAAAACATTTCACTTTCCATGCATCTCCTTAACATAACAATATATACAGAAGGCTTGTAAAAGCTTTGCACATCTGATAAAACCAACAAATTTTCTCTGAAATACAAATCGGTGGTTGTCCAACAGAAAAAGCTTACTGATGTGCAAAATATTTACGCCAACAATATATGGAGAACACTTTCATTGGAAGCCACTTTCGGTCCCCCAACAAAAGTTGCAAAGCAAAAAATTTGCGTTCAAAGAGCATGAAATGAGTAGCTATAGCATTAATCTTGAGAAATGTTGGCAGGGTTTTTCCCAGTGGACACAAGATGGCAGCAGAAACACAAAGCAGCAATGAGCAGTACTAGTAAAGCATCTACAATAAGTTAATTAAGTTATTTTATTAAGCAAATTAAAATTGCCCAGTGCATACATTTTGAGTGGCTGTTCTCAAGATGTTAAAAGTTAAAGCCTTTTACTCTCGGTAAAAGCCTTTTTTAACGTTAACTCTGACATGGACTCTTTTAACTGTAAGTTCCTGGTGATGAGTTAAACTCTATTTCTACTTAGACAGGAATTGGGAACATCCATCCTGCATGCCTCTTCTCACACACACACTTTACATAATGTCCTGCTTGGCAACTAGCTGTGTTTTCAGTCTCCCAGCAGACAACTACCCCACTTCAAATCCCACAGCAGGTAAATCACCAGTGCTGGCTAAAAATACATGACATATATACATATAACCCACCTCAATACAATTCTCCCCCACCCTATAACAATGACTGGGCTGTGTTATATCCTGGAATGGAGCTGTAAATGTGAATATTATTTATCACAGCTGTAAAGACCAACGTCCCCAAGGGAAGCACATTCAAGCCTGCTCTACCGCAGCTCCTCCAATCAGGACAAGCTTTTCTTCAAGAACAGCTTTGGGATTTCTCAAAAACATTGACTTGACCACACGTACAGAAGGTCTCTGACTACTTTCCATTACTGGCATTACTGGCAAACCCTGACGAATTCACATAAGTGAGGCTCATTAGTCTGATTTGGTATCTTGCAAAAGTACTGCCCATTTGGTATAGCTTTCTATTTACTTAATTATTTATTTATTTTCCACCTTCGTTGTATATTGGTTTCTCTTCTTCTTACTTTAGCACCTTTGTGGTTCAGCTACCCAATTTCGCTGTGCAAGAAACTGCACAATGACAATAAAAAGCTCTAAGTCTCTAAGTCTAAGTCTTTAGCTCTTTTGAGGGCAATGCTCTGCACTCATATGGAAGCAGTTCAAACCTTGTGAATGGTTTGACCACTAGTAGACATTCACAGGCTACTAAAGGATGGGTTACGATCATTAGCCGACAAATGTTCCTGCAAATTATAGTGCAGTAATGCACCACAAAACACTGCAAGCTAGCAAACACGGATCGACATTAGATTCAACTTAAAGTCTTTTGAAAACTGAAACTGTTCAACAATATGCTTTAAAACATGCACACAATATTTTATGGTGAACAAACATTGAATGAAAACACCTTTATGAAGAAGAAAACTATAAAACAGCAAAATGAATATTTTTACAATGAAAAAATTGTAAAAAGGCTGAAATGACGTGTGAAATGTGATTTACTTTCATAGCACTAAGATTTGCCTACAGCAGGCAGCTGTTTTTATGAGAAAAAAAACCAATCTTATAAGCCCACCATGCACTCCTTAACTGGCCATGGACAGCAACTAGCTAATGAGCACAGACGCTATAACCTCAGCTACATCTTTGAGTTAATGGTAGATCAATGAAAAATGTTGCTCTGTATCTTTTGGACGTATAGAGACAGCTGTTTGGAAATTTTATAAACACTGTTTATAATTTGTCCCAGAAATGTCCCGAGAAAGTAGTTTCTGCTGTTTGTTGTTTTTGCCAAAGAAATGTTGTGAATGTCCAGAGATATTCTTCTCGTTACTCTCGAGGTCTTCTGAACTGTTTATAAAGTACAAACTTATCCTCAAAATGTGTAAAGGTCGGTTCTAGTGAAAACCTCTATTTACTTATTTCAAGGAAAACTCTGTATGCAGCACAGCTGGTTCAGCCAGAGTCTGTGCTGAAGCAAAATACTGGCTCCTTGGAAGTGTTTTCAATTATTAAACATCCCTGATCTGGCCTTATCTTAGCTGTCAGATATTTGAGAAGTTAAAAATCTGGCCAAATCCCCAGAAAACTCAGATGATTCAACTGCTTCTCATTAAATATTACAAAACTACTCAGCGATTATTCACGCTGGAGTGGTTGTATGTGGGGCAAACATTAACCACGGGCCCCTTTGGTAACATTAACATCCCACACTGTGAAACAAAGGAATGGACTACTCAGCATTCTTCTGAATTGATTTAGAAAAGACAAATTACTGAGAGTGCTCCAGTGTACAAGGTACCAGTTTACGTGAAATGACACATAAAAAGTGGAGAATTGTGAAGGATTTGAAGTCCAAAAAAAGACACAGTGTATGTATCTGGGTTACAACCGTTTCACCTCACAAGCTTAACTTCCTGGAAATCTGTTGACAAAGCCCCCTGCAGTCTGAGGAATGCATTCCTAATACGACCGAAGTGTGCTGGTGTAAGGGAAAAGTGAGCAACAGATTTAACTCCTCACCTCTCCAGAAAAGCTGTATTTCCCTTTGAGGATCTGCCGGTAGAGCCTCATGCGATTGTCGTCCTCGAAGGGCATGGTTCCACTCATCAGGATGTAGGAAATCACCCCAAGCGCCCACATGTCCACAGCGTTTGTGTACGGCTTCCTCACTAGGATTTCAGGCGCTATGTACTCCGGTGTGCCGCAGGTGGTCTTCATCAAACACTCGCCTCCCTTTTTCCTGCTACTGGCCAAACCAAAATCAGTGATGATGATCTTGGAATCAGGTCCCGGGTGGTAGTAGAGCAGGTTCTCAGGCTTCAAGTCTCGGTGAGTGATCCCCAAAGTGTGGAGATACTTGACGCCATCCAGCACCATCTGCAACACCCGTGTGGCGTCCCGCTCTGTGAAGGAGCCGCGTGCGATGATCCGATCGAAAAGTTCTCCTCCAGTGGCCAGCTCCATGACCATGTAGACACGCTCAGCTGTCTCGAAGACCTCCATGAGTTGGATTATATTAGTATGACGAACACGACGCAGAACACACAGCTCTGACTCGCACACCTCCCTCCCCTCACGGTACCGGGTCTCGATCATTTTGATTGCGTATGGCTGTCGGGTGCTCTTGTGCTCCACGCGGACCACACGGCTAAAGCTTCCCCGGCCTATCAAAGCTTTGATCTCGTACTTGGCTGTAACCCGGGGATCAAACTTAGCTCTGTATTTCGCCACTTTCCTTCGCTGAGGATCCGGCAATTCGGACAGGTCCTTAGGGAGGTGAGCTGAAGCGGTGGGAGTGTCAGTGTGAGACTGGGCTTGATGTGGGGAGGTGATCTCTGCTTTGTCACCTGCTCCGCCACCAGCCACACCCATCTTGCTTCCAGAGCCATCCCCTCGTATGAAGTGCTTATAGATATCTGTCTGAGGTTGAGGATCAACCTGAAAAATACACAGCACAGTTCATCAAAATACACAGAAGATCAATGAAAGAAAGAAATCAACTAAAAAAAAATACCATACTAAATTATACTTATATTCTTTGTCTATACAATGTCTACAGTTACAGATTAGATGTGTTCAAAGCAGCCAGTCTCCACACTGCAGCTTTGTGTAGTAAGTAGGAGCAATAGATATTTTACAGCATTTCTGAATAAATCAATATTTTTTTTCAGTTGGTAAATAAAAAGACCAATAAAATGTTTTGTTGCACCCACTAATCAGTCTCAAAACCAAATATGTTCAGTGTAAAGTAACAAAAGAACTGCGGCTGAGGTGATAGATCAGGTTGTCTGCCAATCAGAAGGTTGTTGCATTGATCCCTGACTCTCTCTTGTCCACATGAGAGAGGCATCCTCGAGCAAGATACTTAACCCCGAGTTTTCCTGATGCATCCACAGTGTGCCACAGACAAAAGTTATGTATGAATGAGACCCAATTGTAAATTTTGAGTAGAGAGGGACTAAATCCGTTTACCCATTAGCCACATTCAAAAAGATTAGATATATAAATTTTTTTGTTTTTTTATTTTTAAAAACACAAATTAATATTAAGTCAAAAGACTACCAGATTAGTTTTCTAACAGATTCCCCTCAAATACTTAGGACTAAAAAAATATTATATGAAGAGACATTGTTTAATCATAGTTGTGTTGTAATCTAGATCTTTTAAAAGCAAAATTTCATGTTGAAATAAATGTACCTATGAAAGCACTTTGACTTTGTATTGTTTTCCCTCCTGTGGACGATGATGAAATATTCACATCATTCAAAAGCCGCATATGTTATTTTCCTTTTTAACCAAACAAATTGCCTCCAAAGTGACTTTAAGCCATTTCGGACAGCTCCACCATGTCACTGTATGTGGACAGTGAAGCTGTTGATATGCATGATTACATACGCCATAGCCATACCGTTAACAGTTACAGCATCTTTACTGACCTTTTTGACCAGGTCCAACTTAACATCCTCTGGAGGCTCAGGGAGGACCTTACTGTTCCGGCACCCCATCACATCACCTTGGGCCACTGCCCAGTCAGCCACACAGGCCACCAGGAGCCCTGCCTCATCACCGCCACAGCCGATTTAACAGCAACATCCAGGCTGCACCCAGACTCAGCTTGAGGGTTCATGAATAAAGCGGATTACATCCACTCAAGTACCAGTGAGCTGGTATCAGCAGTTACAGTACATGAATGCGATTGAGTCTGGTTTAACAACTCCCAAGTGCTCATGAATACATCTTGAATGGGCCTGCAGCTTACGCAAATCTCTGGTACTAGTTGTCTTCAGTGTGCTTCGGTAGGCCTGTAGCAGGGCCACACAGTCAGATGTTATCAAGGATGCATCTCAGATAGGATAATGTACAGAGAAAATGGAATGGATACAGCCGGTGTGGATGCTCACGGCAAAAAAAAAAAAAAAGAAGAAAAAAGTTTGATCCGAAAGGGAGCCGTTAGCCTGAGCGTTATCCAGCTTCTCTAAAGCAGGCTTAACCGGAGCTGCCTTTAGGGGGAAAATGCAAAGTTGTCCTCAGGACTCATTCAAAACTTCCAGGGAAAATAAGACCACCATCAACTACGCTATGATCCATTGGGAAAAGCTGCAATGTCAGCAGCGGTCTAGCCACACATGAAGCAGCTCCCCTGGAGAATCACAAGCTGAAGAACAGTGAAGGGAGGCTGTGAAATGCAAAGAAAAAATTAAGCACAAAATAAAATATGAATACAAGTTTGTGTGTTTATCAAATGCAGATATGACAGCAGGCATCTTTTAACATACATGCTTTTTGGTCACTCATTTTAACACTATTAAAATTAAGTATACTTTTATATGGAAGTTGTGTGATGAGGCCATACTGTCAGACTCCCAGCAGAAATATATGATCAAAGCTATTAATACATGTTTTGGAATGACTAAGACGACATGTGACAGGCTTTGCCATTATGAAAAGAGAGCACCAACACAGATGGTCACATATCTGAGCTGGAAGGCTGGTCGATATACTTTATTTTTATTTTTTGTTTGTACAAAATGTTTAGCAACCTACCACAAAACAAGAATTAAGGAGTACGTTACAGGCTGAAACTAATAAAACTGAAAATGGGTACATTTACTTAAGAAACCTAAAGCAAAACTACACTTAACTTCGAGATTTTTCTTTTTTTTAAGTGAAGGCCTTTTTCGTGTTTATTTTTTTATGATAAAACCCACTTTACCTGATTTCCCCCAACCTTTAGTAACATTAGGGTAGTCTCTAAAAGTTTTCACTAAGAACCCAGACATTAAAAGCGTAAGAGTGACTCTGAATCTCACCTCTCGACTTACCCGAGATAGCGAAGTGTCTAAGTACGCTAACTAGCCTGCTAGCAGCAAGGCAGGACTCCCAACTTTTGCCAAATCCAGCCTCCTCACCCCACTCTCACTCAGCTGGGCTCTCCATTTTCACCTCGTAGTTTCCCAACTTTACTCCCGAGGACAAACAACTCGAATCCATCACGGCCTTTCTTGGCGACACTTTGTCACTTTTAGAGTTTGCTAATTTGTTTTCATGGTGTTACAAAATGTTAAAGAAGTGTACAAGAACACTCAAAGTCATCCCGTCGGTTGCTTTTCTGGACGGTGTTTTTCAACCAGGACCACCTTCCCACACCCACAGAGAAGCGTCAAGAGGCGCCGGCGTTCCGGCCTAGACTTTCAAAATAAAGCAGATTATAGTTAAATAAAAGACTAGTATCCAGCCATCCACTCATTATTCATTTTTATAAATATGCAGCTCTACACATATAAATCTGGAAATATACTGTCTTCATGTCTGCACTGTGTTCTTCTTATTGTCCGTCTATTCTGTTAAGTGCATTGAGAGCAAAGAAAACAATTCCTTGTGTAGAAAGTGTAAGGTGATTCTAATTTCTGCATTAAAATATAGATACTTTTAAAATCTAGTATCTGCAGATACCAAGTACCCATACAAAATGAGTGTAAAATTAGAAAACTATACTATAGAAAACTATATTCCTTACGTTGAGGTAAATGTTGAAAATACGTCTTTATATATATATATATATAAAGGAACATCAAGCTCGACTTTCAAATTGCTTTCCTAACTTTGTAAATATGGTAAATGGCCTGTATTTATATAGCGCTTTACTAGTCCCTAAGGACCCCAAAGCGCTTTACATATCCAGTCATCCACCCATTCACACACACATTCACACACTACAACCAGGAATTAAAATTTAGTAGATCTGTGTTTAAAAATTCAAACACAAAGATGAATGAAATGTAAAAGTCAGCTCATACATTTGCACTATAGTCTCATTTCAGCGCAGTGTAAAAGTCTTTGCTGTGCTTTGCTGACTTTTATGGTGATGCTGATTTGCCCTTGTTCCTCCTCAGACACAGAGTGGAACAGATAAGACAAGAGGAGTGAAATAATAAAGAGTTTACAGCATCCCCTCAGTTTGCCATAGGACTAAAAAGACCTTTGGCAGCTACCTTTCTCCATGCTACAGTGCTGGTGGCATGGTTCAGCAAACACACAAAATTGAAATGATTGCCCCCTTAGATTGGCTTGTTGCCACTGATCGTGATCTAATCGTTTAGTGTATTCCTACTTAAGAAACATAAAAATGATCACAAGTGACACGTAATGACTGTAAAGATGCACTAAATTAACTCAAAGATGCAAAACAATTATAGAGAGACACAAAATCACCATAAACTGATTGTAAGCAACCACAGAAAGCTGCATGATGATTACCCAATGGTACCAAATGAGTACAAAGCCACACTCGGTGACACAAAATGATCACAAACGGATGCCAAACAAATATGAAAAAGTAACGCATAGCGTGTGTGGCTGTGGTCATTAGGAACTAAAAGCTCTATTGAGCTCTCGGTCATGAGCAAATCTTCTAACAATAGTTGCATGTTGACATTTCAAGAAGATTGTTCTTGGTCTACTCTTATTTTGAAAGCTATATCATTCTGCTTCCTGTGCACTTTACCTGTTTGTGTCTAACTGTACACTTCTCTCCGCTTCCACCCAACTTTTTTTTCTCCCCTTTTTTTTCTTTTTTTTCCTCTGTAAAATCGGACGACCTCCCTCGGCTTGTTTCGACCCCATTAAGTCCTCACCGTCACTTCCTGGATACAGAAAGAAGTCCCTATGACTTTTTTTTTTGTCTTGAAACAGTACAAGAAAGTTTAGAAGTTATGCTTCCAACTAAAGGAGTTCCACATAGGATGACTAGTATCTGACCCTCATTTGATATGGACATGCCTCAAGTCACAACATCTGAGAGAATCTGTGATGTTACAGCTGCTGCAGCTTTCCACAGACATCTGAGCAAAATATAAATGATGTGGAGCAAGTGAAAATTTTACATTATAGTTAGTTTTATTATTCCTTTATGTGATGGTATCCCACTGAGGCACTTTGGGGAACCACTGGTGATCTTTGGGGTATTTTTTATGCATTTAATTCAATGCAGGCATGCAAATAAAATTGAGGCCACTTCACTCGCCTCCACTCTGAAAACATAATTTATACAGGACTAAACCATATGTCGGGGAGCTCTCCCTGCCGTGCAGTTTCTACAAAATTAAATGAAAGCATGCATATGTTTTTGTTTTAAACAGATTTCATGTGGTTAATTATATGCTTTGGTTGTGTTTAAAGATATAGGTTTGCAGGACAAAATGCATATCAGCTGTAGTCTGATATGCTGAGCTTTGCATCAGTGAAGTAAAGCTCTTACAGGATTTTTCCACACGGTGTCACTGCTAACATAAAAGTCACTCCAAGGCTACCTCAGACTGTAAAGTACTTTTAAGCCATTTTATTAGAATAACTGTTTCTTTACATACCTCCACTGTACTGGGATGAGTAACGTTCAGTTTCACCCTGCTTGATTCACGAGCAGTATAATAAACAACGCAGGTCCTTGGCTTTGATATTGATGTGATGGAGCACACTGGACTCAGTGTTGTAGACTCACTTGACCATGGCTTGTGCAGCTTGTGCAGGGCGCAGCAGAGTTTTGTGGAGCAGCATTAAAAGAATAGAGAATTAGTAATAGGAAGACAAATGTTCCAGAAAGAGAGGCAGAGACAGTAAAATTCATCTTATGATGCCAATAAAGCTCCCTGAATTGGATTGAGGGAGTGAAAATGAGTGGGGGAGAAGGGTGGGGGTGACGGAGGAAGACAACGGATGACAGATGGTGGGTACCAGACAGAAATATAGGAAGAAAGGAATGGTGGGAGGGGGTAGAAAAATGAAGCAGCAGAGAGTAATCAAAACGGAAAGAAGGAGATAAGGAGAGAGAGAAGAAGACCCGCTGCAGCCATGAGGCAGGGACAGGGAGAAAAGGATGAGACAAAGAGAGAGAGATAAAAGCAACGAAAGAGATCCTCTGAGGGCTCTTGCTGCCCATCCAGCCTCTCTGCTCTATCTGCAGTGCAGCTGAGGTCAGGGCCTCTCCAGCGCTGCAGCCCGCTCTGCTACGTCGTCATCTTTGTGATTGATCACCGCTTTGTCGCACTCTGATCAAGATGCTTTGTCTGAGTGCCCTGCTTCTATTGACACTCGTGTGTATTCCTCTCCATCGCTACTCTCCCAGCGCTCCATACCCACATCTTTCTCTCTCTCCATTTCCACTTGTGCTGTCCTGTTACTCACACTATTTTCCCCTTTCAAAGGTCAATATCATCTATTAGGTCTAAATTTGCTGACTGCTGTATTATTTATCCCTACAGAGAAGGAGGAGATGCTCTATTAAAAGCTCAGTTGACTCCATCTGTGTCTCTGTCTCCATTAATATCCCCATGATAGTTCCCCTTCATTTGGGTGTAGGTTTGTGAGAAAGAAGAGCTTTAAAGTGTGTGCCGCATGTTTCTGCAGAGGATGAGTAAGAGCCCGTGAGAGTTTCCAGTGAGCGCATAGAAGCAGTCCGGTGCTGCGAGACAAAAGGAGAAACTCTAGAAGATGACATCCTGTGTCAGATTTGATCCTTGTCGTAGGATTTTTCTGTTTCTGCAACTCCCCCTGCATCCAGACCGAGATCACCACTGTACGCTGTCAGTACAATCAGGTGATAGTAAACTCACTATTGATTACCACAGGCACATTACTCCCTCAAGGAATATTGCGCGACTACTATACTGACACCACAGGAGATAAAAATATCATAAACTACAACATACTCCTTCTCAGGATATTATTGACCACCATACACAAGCTATTAGTTTCCATATCACGAGAATATTACAGGAATTTTATTCTTGTCCTGAGGTACTGTATCTACATGGTAAGTGTCACAGATATTGTAGGGTTTTTATTTGGTCCCTGTTGAATAGTGCATGTCTGGGACACCTGGTTCTAACTTTTACAGTCCAGCTGATGGCCAGTAAGTGCTTCTGTGTCTATTTTTTATTGGCTTTTTATGAGAGTTTTGCAAAATCGCTGGGGAAATATCTCATCACCATATAACAGATTCAAGGTCCCCGGTGTCCCTGAAAGTTGAAGATGCTCACAACACTAAAACATCCAACTAGTAAATTCTTGTGTAACCTGCTTGTACTGAACTCTGTAGCCATACACGCAGGAAGATAACCAGGTATGAGGGAAGAAAGGCGTAAACACAACAAGAAGACTGGACAGGAACAGATATTGATAAAGTTTAAATATAAATGTTGCTCTACGTTCATAGAAATGACTAGCAGTCAGGTTTGTCTGATTGACTGTACTTTTCTCCCTCTTGTATACTTATTCTTTTTTATTGCCTCAGTCTTTCTCAGGTCATTGTTGGCATCATGCTCTCTCTTTCTATTTTCTGTCTCTCATAGTTAATAAATCAGGTGCCTCTTTGACTTCCTGCAAGTCTAGTCTGTCTTTTTGACAGTTTTTTTAAGAGTTAATTTTTAGAAAACTCACAGCTTTGTATCAATAACTTTGATTTTAGTTACAAATACAAATGCTAGCTTAGCAGTTAGCAGCATTAGGATTAGGATTGTGAGCGAATGTTAATGCTAAAGGTCAGAGGAAAACTGTCTCTGCAGAAGAGCATCTCTGGATGCACAATATATCAAACTTTGAGATAGATGAACTACAGCAGCAGAAGATCATAAGGCTACAATTTGCATGCAATCACCAAAATTGGAAAAACCTTGCCAGGTCTGATGAGTGTAATTTCAGTTTTGAAGTTCAGATGGCGCGGTCACAATCGGGCACAAACAGCATGAAAAAATAGTTTTATCCTACCTGTAGCAACGGTTCAAGTTTTGGTGATGGTGTAATATTGTTGGATTGTCTTGGGTTTCTTGGTACCAAATGGTAATCTTTAAATCCACACCCTACCTGAGTAATGATAGCTGATTGCAACAGGTTAATGTGCTGTGTTGCAAAGCTCAGATCATCTCAACCTGGTTCCTCAAACATGACAGTGAGAAAATTCACACTATGGATATGCAGTTTACACAATGTTATTGTGCCAATATGGACAAAAACTCTGAGGAATGTTTCCAAAATCTTGTTTAAAAAAAGAAGGGGAAAAAAGTTCTGAGGGCCAAAGGAGTCCAAACCAGCAGCATCAAGGTGTACCTAAGGAAGTGTCTACTG